TAAATATTGCAGGAAATAAAGGACACCCGGAGTGGCCCGATAGCAGGTAAAGCAGTGCACAACTACCAACACTCACCCAGATTAGCATCACGGTCAGAAAGCTAAACAAAAAACTGAAAAATAATTCAAGTCTTTGAGCTGGCAGTGTAAGACACTAGTTCTGTTCTTGCTCCTGAACCACTGCTCAGTCTCCACTCGGCAGCGAACTCTCACACCGAACATCTGCTTAAAGCTGTAGCATGTAACTTAAAAAAAAAGAAAAAGATTTTAGATATGGATTAAAATATGTCTATTATGTCTAAATTAGGTGAATTTATTGCCATCTGGCAATAAATTCCATTTTGCCAGATAATAGTATTATTTATACCTAAAACAAAAAATTAACAGCCATTCAAGGTGATCAGCAAAGATTTGTGATTGGCAGAGATCAGCCTCATGGATGATCGGAATCGGCAGCAAAAAACCTGATCGGAGCATCCCTAAGTTTTATGTTTTCTGTGAACATAACATTTTCTAATACAAAAACACGATGGGCTGCTGGTGAACTGCCTCAGCGCCCTGGCTACCTAGCTTAGCAAGTTTTTTCCTTGCTAAGCAACTTCCTGAGTCTTTCTGAAAGAAATCAGCCTAGTTTTGGCTGTTTCATAAATCAATTGATAGAAATGAGCCAATCATTAAATCTAGAATGAAAATGTGTCATGATGAAACTTTACAGTATTGTATTAATGCCGATGAACATGTTTGATCAAACCTTATTTACATCTTCGTTATTGTTATTGGTCATGGTTTCTCACCATGACCAATGATTCTGGTCTGATCATTTTACTACATCATCCATTTGATATGGATATTTATTAACTCCTAACATTTCTTTTAGTGGCCTTTCTCAAACAGTGGCCTCCGTTTCTTTGCCGCAATGTTAGCTCAGTGTGCTCAGAGCTAGTTCACCAAAGAATTGTGTTAAAAATAATGATGGAAAACTGCCTTAAACCGGGTTACTCAAATGAAAAGCTCTAGAGACCGACAGAAAGAAAACAACTCCAGGACTAGTATTTATCAGAAGAAGCTAAGTCAGTCTGAGAGTTGATGCGTTGTTCACCAGCGATTGGATTCCTTTGAATGGTTAGCGGTATGGATTGCTGCAGTTAGTCAGAACTATTCTTTGTTTTTTGTGACTTTGCTTGGTAATGAATGATGCTTTGTTTTTATTAATTAAAAATATTAAATAAATACAATTGATAAAAATTGTTTGGTTATTTTTATATTTAATGGTGCAGAAAAGGATTTTTGTTTCTGTTAAAGCAACTCAAGTCTATTTTTCTTTAATTGTGCTTCTAAATCACAAATGGCACTAAATGTTATTATTGTACACAGCACTTGGTGGTAAAAAACTTATTATTTCCATGTGTTTGGCATCATTGGAAAGCTTAGACTCCATACTTTCAGAATCTGTAAATAACTCAAAATACCCAAGAAGACCTGTTCATGGCTTTGTTGTGGCCTGTGACATTTACCAAACGGCACCACTCTTCTCATTATGATGAACAAAGAAAACATAAATAAGTAGGTTAAGAGACTAATATTAGCATTTCAGGTTGCATCATATGTTAAGATGTGTTATCGTGATTTCAGGTTATGTGCCCCCTGACTGTTTAAGAGTTAAGCGGTCCTCACCCTGAAAAAGTTTGATAAACACTGGGCTAAAGTGTTTGTGAATAACTTTTATCTTGCTGAGGGAAAATTGGGAGAATAATCTTGTTGGAATTTGAGAAATTTGATCAATTTTCCTATATTAGGAGTTGCAACAATTTTAGACTGAGGAAGCTTTGGGACTGAGAGTTTAGAGGAAGCTGCCAAGTTTTATTTTGGAGGAGGAGCTTGGTTATCAGCCTGTAGCTTTGGTGAGATTATTATGGGATGTTGGTGTCTCACAACAGTCTAGTCATTGAAGGAGTTTAAATCCCTTCAGAGCAATATGAACCTACCTCAAACATTTTCTCTAAGCTAGAAGCGACATTTCAAGGAAACTTCTGGCCAAAAATATCAAAATGTACCATTCATAGCAGTTTCACACTAATTTCAATCTGAATATATATTTATAGTACAGTGAGACACAAGTTCTAAGTAGATCGGTAAGATAACACCAGCCACATGATTGGTGTGCATTTAATTCCAGATGACGAAGAAGATCAAGAAGCTGGAAAAGGAGACAACGCAGTGGAGGACCAAGTGGGAGAGCAACAACCAGGCGCTGCTGCAGATGGCCGAGGAGGTGAGCCTCTTACCCACAAACTTTTTCAACTAGGACTGACAACGTTAACGCATGACAACAATTTGAACATTTTAACACGCTAATATTACATGATACAAATTACTGAAACTACCTATTTTGACCTAAAAGCCTCTCTCTTGTGAAGGGCTATTTATATTATAGCTTTCTTGCGTCGCTAGGCTGCAAGAAAAATAAGTGAGGCTGCGACGCAAGAAAGTCACAGAAAAATCAGAGACGCTAGACTGTGTGCACATCTACGTGTACAAGCTCAAAATTTCAAATGCACAAATTATGCTGGTTGCTTGGCTGGATGAGGACAAGTGACTGTGGCCTCATCACACAAGCTCCACAGGAAATGGAGAGGGGCATTTCTACGTTTAAAATAAAATGAACTCCTTTAAACTTTCCTGAATATAAAAACCTGGAAAACTAGGAATCTTTGAACATGTTTGGTTGGAGACAATAAAACTTTTCTTAAACATTTATTGAAAACGTGCATACAGTGGCGTTTTTTGATCTGGGCAATATCTGCAATTTCCCAGGGCAGCATCAGAAAGAGGTGGGGCACCCATAAACTAGAAAATAAAATCTCTTATCTGTCAGTTGTCCCCTGAACAAGTTTGCTACGTGCAATGGAGTAAGTTTCTCTTAGTTGCTATTGAGTAATGGGAGACTATATTACCTGCTACAAAAACTCCAGATAATTGCTTGTATTTGAATTGGTTGAGGCGTAGCAGGAGGAGGGGTTTCACCAAGGGTATCATTTCTGCGAGAAAAACTGTGTGCATATTTATAGTTAGGTTATGGTGATTGTTTTTTTTTTTTTAGTCAATTGATACTACTACTCTACACAGTTGTCTGGAACACTCCTCTGTTGCAGAAAACGCTGCGCGATGGGCACTTCAAGGCTCTGCAGGGGAAGCTGGAGCTGCTGGAGCGCCTGTGCAGAGCTCTGCAGAAGGAGAGGAACGACCTGAGCAACCAGCTGAGCCTCCTTCAGGAGCAGAGGGACAAGGGGCCGGTGCCACCTGGCCCCGACCAGCACGAGGCCTTGCCCATGGAGGACGAGGAAGACGAGGAGGATTCTGAAGATTTGGCGCACAATGAAGAGCTGGAGGCGTGTGAGGAGCCCCCACAGCATGCTGCTGATAAACCCACTACTGCTGCAGCAACACCACCGACCAGGCTGCTGGATTGAAGTTGCGATGGGGCAGTCTGAAACATTACCATTACTAAAGATTTACCCTTTCACAATTGTAAACTATATCTTTTTGATCTTTTTGTGTTTTTACACTTTGCTCAATAAAATTATTGTATGAAGAATTGCCACATTCCTAAGGCGCTGTGCAGTAAGCTGTGAGCAAAAGCCCTTTCCTCCACCAGTCAGGCTGATTTGGGCCTGGAGCATATCATTCCAGCAGACTGCAGTAAGGGGGTCTGTCTAATCACGACATTTTCCTCAAAGCTTCTGCTTCCTGAAAATATGACTAGCAGATAAGGGCCACTAGATGTTTGAAGAGCATCAAATAGTTGAGCTATTTTTTAAGTCAAATTCTCATTTGTATTTTTCAAGGAAATTTCCTTTAAAATCCATCATATGGAGTTCTAACAAGTGTTTAGGGTTTCTTTTGGTTCCAAACAGTCAGTTGTAGTTCCCAGTGAAGGTGTGAATGTCTCTTGTTAACTGTCTGCTTTAGTCTTCCTGATTTTAACTTGGCCACCTGCTGTCTGTGGCAGCTCCATTTAGGAACCATCTCCAGTGAAACTCAGGGTCATCCTATGTTAAGTTTTTCTCCCGACTAGATAGCCAGTATTATTCATTGTGACTATCTCTGTCTTCATCAAGCTTGGCCTTTAAAGCACTTCCAGGAAGACTGAATAACAGCACTGCTGTCATTCAGGTGGAGATTTTCACATTTTACAAGATAAATGTTGAAATATCTGAGACCAAAGTGAGATGATGTGAAGGGTTCTTTAGAGTATATAGAGGCTGGTCTTAACAGGCCATTGGTGAAAATTAAATTTGAAACGTTGAAATCCAACCATGTCAGATTTGATCTTGGAAGAGAAGATGGGATCTGCTGTTAGGAACCATTAAGGGCTCTGATGGGGGTGTGGCCTCTTCAGTGAGTCTACACCTTAAGTGAATGTAGGAAGTAGCAGCAGGTACCAGCCTGACTGCTGTCATTGGGGAGGATTGTACTACTGACACTTCTGGTTTCTCTTCACTTGAAAAGTAGTTTCGTCACTTCATCTCATTATTTGCACATCTTATCGTAATCATTGTTCCTTTCCATAAGCCTCAGCAGCTGAGAAAGCAGCTATTGCCATGCAATGTGCCCTGTCCTGTTTTACTGTAGCACTTACTTCACATGTTGTAGTCCTCCAGCTCCAGGCTGACCCCAGATCTGCCCGACTTCTATTTTGGCATAATAAAGTAGTGGGACGGATATGGATGTAGTCCAGATGACATAATTAAGATTGTAAGTGTTGCATAGCAGTGAATGTGTAAAATGGCAGTCTGTGCACTTTGACCTTTGCCTACCTTTCTAAGCAACTCTTCATGCTGAGATGAAATCAGAGGAAACTAAATGTTCATCAGCAGGCGGTGAGGGTTTCCACCCCTGGCTGAGCTGCAGACAACTTGACCTTGGCATTGCCTCAGAATTACTCGGATAATGTCAGAATCTACCTCTGTGGGCGGGGCCATGAGTCAGCAAACTGACTGCTTTTGTTTTTACCACCTTCTAAATGTAAAATGTTCTAAGACTGTCATGCTTTTCAATAAACATTTTGTAGGATTTCCAATGTCTGGATTCATTTTCCCTAGCCACTTCACACAAATCTCAAAACTTCTGCTTTTGAAAAGCAACATTTACAAAAGCTTTATTGCAGTTCGGTGCCAGAAACATCACTGATAATGTAACACATTATGCAATGATGAATAATCCCAAACCGCCAAGTGTTTTGTACCTTAGAAAGTAGCAAGCTCACAGTTGGCAATGTACATCTGCATAGTGGTGGTAGAAAACCACCAACAAGAGCTGCAAACATTCATCTTAATATTGTGGTATTAATTATGTTTTCCTGTGAGCTTTGTGGGTCTGAAAAAAATGACTATGAATATTTTCAAATGCCCTTTACCACAAAATGCTTTTCATAATACTGAAGAGAAAACACTTGAAGGGGAACAGCATTACCAATCTGTGCTTCTGTTCAGAGCCCTGGCCCCTGTTAGGGGCCAGTGGAATGACACCAAATTCAAGTGTGAACTAGAGAGGGCACAGGCTGCTCTGACATTTCACAAATTATTGGATTAGGAGACCGCCAAGGTCCAGGGGGTGGCAGATTAGTTGGTCTGGGCAGAGAGTGTTCATCATCCTTGAGCCTCCAGCTCTGATGCGGGTGTGTTGTCTGGCTCCTCATCATTGTAGATATTCTCTGCCTGGAAGACAAGGGAAGCACAAAATGTCCCTTCATCTCTGTGTCTGTGTAGGGTTAAAGTAATCAAACCTTGGGATCTAGTTTCTAATTTGTTCTAGAGATACTTTGGATAAGAACCGTTCTCACCATCTGCCAGACTTGCATGATGTTGTCTTCGGACACGGAGCAGATGACCCAGGGTTCATTGGGGTTCCAGGAGAAGTCTGATATCTTGGCCGTGTGGCCACCATGAATGAACTGAAGTGGCAGAAAGAAGATAAACTGGATGAAGACATGAGCAGGTTGCCAACAAACCACTAAAAGGTTCCATCTGGACGATCAGCAGACAGGTTTCATGTCATACTGTCCACCACTGAGGCTTCTGCTAAACATCACCTACCAGAAGCTCTGGTGGGCCGTCCTCAGCGTCCTCTGAAGACTGCTCCTCCCCAATTTTACTGAAAACAAAATCCATCATTATCACTCTGCACAGCAGCTCCACTCGTCAACCCCTGAACATGTGAGCAGGAAAGTTCATGATCAGCAATCATCACCGAACACTGTAAGATTCTACCTGAGATCCCAGACGTTGAGACGTCGGTCGGTACCGCTGGAGGCCAGGATGGTTTCATTGTGAGGTGACCACTGGACCTAATGAACAGAACGGAGAGTCCCTAGTAAGATCAAACTGGATGCAGAGTCCAACAGCCCAAATTATCAAACCGTCCCTGACCTGTTTTCATGTAGCATGTAAACAGCTGCCTGCCATGAAGATGCCATAAAAATGACTGTTCTCACACAGAGTATGAAAGTCTGGTTTCTGAAATCTGCTAGCTGCGTCACATACATCGTCTCGGCTTCACAATTCTAGCCACTGAACTTCTGAAGGATTTAGACTCCAAAGGGATATAAGCATTGAGTTCTGGCAGCTGAAGGAGGAACAGCTTATCCTGCTCTCTCCCGTCCTTACTGATAATTTTGCCTGTGAATTATTTTTAAAGTCACAATTTTTATGGTTATATTTACATTATCAACATCATAACTAGATTACTTCAAACCTAAGGATCGGGAGATTTTCTCACTTTTATTTTTACCTTACTTTTCTTCACCTCCAAGTTGAACTAGGGCAAAATGCCCCCGTTCGACCGCAAGGACACTAACAGTATTTTACAACAGCTTCAGTTTTTAGAAACGAAGATTCAACAGCTGGAGGTGAACTTTGACATCAACGCTACCTGTGGAAATGAAACAACTCTTCCTCAATCCAGCGGAGAGGTCGTACGCCCCACACCAAGCAGCTCACCCTGGAACGCTCAGGGCGCCAAGCCGAAACAAAAGTCTCACACTGCGGATCCCATGAGACGACTAACGGGGAGAACCCCTCACCTGGACGAAACAGAGTGGCCGGCTCTGAGCTGAAACCCACCTACAACTTCAACACCTGCTCTGCCAAAGAAAAATAAACAAGCAGCTGGAACCAAAATGGCTCCACCGACTCCGCTCCCAAGGACAATGCGACCAGCCCAAGCCTCAAAACATTCTGATGCCATGGGAATCCCACTGAAAAACAGATTTTCTGCACTTCAGCCTGAGCCTCTGAGTGAAAACCCACCTTCAAACATCAACAATGAGGCTAAACCAACACATCCATCCCACAAAGCTCCGAAGGACAAAATGACCACCAGGAAAACGAAATGTATGCAAAGAGTTCTTATTGTTGGAGATGAGACAGTAAATGGAATCAGTCATGTTTGCAATCCCAATAAAACGAGAGTGATTTCTTTTCTTGGTGACACTATATCAACAAGAACAACAATGTGACCATCGCTTCAGAAGAACAGGCTCAAGGATGTCTGACTAGGATGGGACCCTCCGCTTATCAGAACCAAAGTGTCCCAAAACAAAGTGCTGGGGACAGAATGACTGGTTCCCCTCCTCCTTCCCCCCTCCCTCTCTGCTCCTACACTCACTCACAAGATCAGAGTTTCCCAGGAAGTCNTCCGTCACAACTTTGTCGATAAACCAGGTATCCACAAGCTCCAATGACCAGAAATCCTGTTATCATGAATAAATCCAGGGTGAACTCATCCTGTCGGGGGTGTCCCCTCAGGACAAGAGGGCTCTCCTGTGCCCAGTCTTTTTGTTGAGAAAATTTGATCAATTGCATTGATACACCAGTTAACCAGATCCATAATTTGTAGATTCGGAGGATGTACAAAGAAAGGCTCCAAAAAAGCAATACAAAAACAGAGCAAGCAGGGTGAGAACGGGTAGCGAGAAGAGCAGAGGAAAAAGTCTGTATCATGTGTATATGACACTTGCAATCATATATGTCAGACTGTGTATGAATATTTGCACCACATGCCTTAAAAATTACTGCTTTACAAAGAAACTGTACCCATTTGTAGAGAGCATATTTATTGTTTTGGATCAATCTTGACCCATTGATCTGTGATTTAACCATTAAGCATATGATGTAATGATGACAAACACTTCATATTAGCATGTTGTTTTAATACAGTTGATCTCTGTATTCAGCTGTTCTTGTGGTTGGCTGCAGGCATTTATTCATCTTTTAATATTTTTTTTCTCAGATTCGAGTTTTATTTCAGTTTTGAAAATGGTATAAAGGCTGTGTCCAAATTCAGGGTCTGCATCCTTTGAAGGACGGATTTGTAGGCCGATTACGTCATAATGTTGCGACAAGGCCTGTCCGAATTCAAAGACTCCTTCAAATGTGTCCTTCTTTTCCCCAGATTTGAAGGATGGGTCCTGTGTATCCTTCACGGCCCACAATATCCCATAATTCATTGCGGGTTCCAACTGGGCGTTCAGGCAGAGCGTCAATGGCGGTGAATAGCAACAAATTATTTAGCTTTATAACACTTTAAATGACACAACGTGATTTGGTTCAACGTTTTTAGGCGAGAATGTAAGTGTGTAAATCTCAAATATCTGCTCGGTTCATCAATACATCATCTAATTACAATATTGCTCTGACATTTTCAGACCTGTCTGCTACCGCTGCGTTAACAGCCAGCTCCCCGCCAGCTGTCAGCTGGCCGGGACCCGTCCTACGTAGACCAGTTCTTCGAAGGATGCAGACCCTGAATTCGGACACACTTACAAGTCTATTCTGCCCTCTAAATGTAAAGTCTGCCTTGTGCATGTTCCCCACTGATAATTTTTAACAAATTTTTCCGATTATTTTCCACCAAGTTTCTATGACCACAGCACATTTAATAGCAACAGTCAACAAATCAGTAGCCACACAGCAGCGCATGGCAGACCCAACAACTTTATCCTCCAGGTAAGGGGCTTTTACTTCAGGACAAATTGTGACAAACCCATTGAGTTCATTGACAATGATAACTTTGCTTTTGAGTTACTTTCATAGTCACGGTTTTTATAGGTATATGTACATCATTGACATAATAACTGGATTACTTCAAAGCTAAGGACTGGGGCATTTTCTTACTTTTACGTTACTTTTCTTCACCTCCAAGTTGAACCAGGACAAAATGCCTCCGTTCAACCCCAGGAACATTAGCAGCAGTCATTATACAATGACTTCAGTCTATAGAACGGCTACCTGTGGAAATGAAACAACTCTTCCTCAATCCAGCGGAGAGGTCGTACGCCCCACAACAAGCAGCTCACCCTGGAACGCTCAGGGCGCCAAGCCGAAACAAAAGTCTCACACTGCGGATCCCATGAGACAACTAACAGGGAGAACACCTCACCTGGACGAAACAGCGTGGCCAACTCTGAGCCGAAACCCACCTTCAACTTCAACACCTGCTCCGCCAAAGAATAGCAAACAAGCAGCTGGAACAAAAACGGCCCCACCGACCCCGCTCCCAAGGACAAAGCGACCAGCCCAAGCCTCAAAATATTCCGACTCCGTGGGAATCCCACTGAAAAACAGATTTTCTGCACTTCAGCCAGAGCCTTCGAGGAAAACTCGCCTTCAAACATCAACAATGAGGCAAGACCAGCACATCTACCCCCCAAAGCTCCAAAGGACAAAGCGACGACCAGGAAAACGAAATGTATGCCAAAAGTGCTTATTGTTGGAGATGAGGCAGAAAATGGAGTCAGTTATGTTTGCAATCCCAAGAAAACGAGAGTGATTTCTTCTCCTGGTGACACTATATCTGATTTACTCTCTCTAACCAATCAGCCAAATTTTGAGACTTTAGTTGTGCATGTTGAGCCAATGATCTGGCAAAGGAAAAATTTGAGATTCTGAAAAAGGACTTTAATAATCTTCTGAACACTATGGGAAAATTAAAAATGAAGTTATTTCTCAGTGGTCCAATTCCATCGACGGAGACGAAAAACACTCCAGGCTGGACATGATAAACAAATGGCTGATTAAAGCTCTGTCAGCTCAGTGACCTTCATCGATTACCTCTGGATCTACTGGCAGCGCTTTCACCTCTTGGAAGAGGCAGACGCAATAAACATGGGATAAAACTACTTACTGCAAACCTTTTTCATTTTATCAACAAGGACAACAATGTGACCATCGCTTCAGAAGAACAGGCTCAAGGATGTCTGACTAGGATGGAACCCTTCGTGTATCAGGAGCAAACTATTCCAAAACAAGCTGATAGAACGTCGACTGAAGACAGAGCGACTGGTTCCCCTCCTCCTTTCCCCCTCTCTCTCTGTTCCTACACTCATTCTCTGCATTCACAAGATACATATGAAGAAATGTCTTCTGGACCAGAGTTTCTCAAATTGACAGATGGAATGAATCAACAGGTTTGCCTCGGCATGTCTCTATTTAGCGCTAACATAGCAGACCTCACTTCATTTAAGCCACCTGCCTCTGACCTCCCTGAGGATCCAGCACTCTGCGTTTCTGAGGTCTGAGACCGGGGTCCAGATATTATCTTTACACCCGTCTTCCTCCAGAATGTGTCTGGCCCCCCGGCACTGCAAAACAGGACATTACCTGTCCAGATCAAACCTCAGACTGATCCCCTACCTAAAGGAACCTCAGAACCTTCGGCCTCCAAGTCACTTAAACTGGCTCTTTTAAATACCAGATCTCTCTGTGGTAAAGCTCTATTAATTAATGATTTCATCACTGAGCATAATATTGATGATTTATTTCTGACAGAAATGAACCAATCGTACTAATTGTTCCTCCTAACTACAATTTTTTAAGTGAGAATAGAAAACATAATAAAGGAGGACACGTGGCTTCAATATTTAAGAATACCATAAAGTGTAGTAAAATCTCTTTGGTCATAAATGAACTTTAACACTAACTTTATACAAAACTCCAACATATGTGGAAGGTTTTGTGGCGACACTAGATGGAAACTCAGATTTTGTAGAAGTTTAGTTTTAGTAAATTGCTCAACGCCACCCTGGGAATTTCACCCAGAGATTATTACCTCTTGTTTAAGGCACACAGGTTCAGTTATGCAGGGATTAAAACATCTGAGACAGTTTCAAAATTATAAAAAAAATATTAAATTCTTTTGAAAATGTTCTTTTAAAAACTAATTTCTTTTTAAGAATGAAACAAAAGAAATCAAAGGAAATCAAAGAAAATAGAAGAGCTGCAGCAGCTGAGGTTACCGGCCGGAGGGGGCGCTATGGGGACGACATCCACCAAACACAGTAAATAAAAAAAATCCTTTAACACCAGACGCAGTGAGACAACCCAAACTCCAGAATCACAGCACGCAGAAGAGGAAGACACCGTCACCACACCAACACCGGACCTCAGCAACTGCAAACAAAAAACAGTTGACCAATATGACAATCTTAAAAAGAACAAAATCATCCCGACTAAATTAAGAAGAAAAGGGCTGTAAACAAAATAAGTAGAAAAATAGAAATCAGACAATACAAGTTAAAACATTAAGACCAGGTGTGGCCCTGCCACGCCTCAGTGGGAGATGAAATGGTTGCGCCGATGCCACACCCCAAACACCGCTTCAATGAGGGCGCATAACGCCTCCGCAGTCCAACTTTAGAACAATTGTGCAGAAATCCGGGAGATTTACGTAGACGGAGCAGAGCAAAGCCGAACAGATCAGGAAAACGAACGCAGACAGAGCAGCAATGGTTCAACTGTGGGGAACCTATAAAAAATTTGTCACCATTTTAAATAAAACTAGAAGAAACTGGAGCTTAGATGAGTGTTAATTTCTTACCTGCTGATCCACACAACATGCACACACACTCGCAGACCGAGGAAGAGAAGGAACGCAACGCAGTGGCGTTTTACCTACGATCACACTTCAGTTTAGATTTTCTGACCAAGATCAGCTAAAGTGCAGGGAGAGAGAACACCTACCACCAAAACATCAGCGCAACATGCACCAGCCAGCGATTTGTTGCTTTCCGCTGCCAGAGTCCACCGGACGCGAACCACACAGTGGGAGCACAAAGATGACACATGCCTGAATGAACGCCGCAGCTCCCTTATATACACCTCGCCCACTTTAAGAACCAGAACTTCTCACCTGGAAACTATTTGTGTGGAATTATGTATATTTCTATACCACTACAGTTTCTTTCCCATATGCATTGATTATGATTAATAATTGTCGTGATTTCAACATTCATGTTGACAACCTGAAGACCGAGGGGCAAAAAAGCTCCTTAATATATTAGAGGGTTTTGTTTTAACACAACATGTCAAACAAGCAACACACACTCATGGACACACAGTGGACCTGGTCATCAGTAAGGGTGTGAATATTTCCAATGTCTCTGTAACTGATGTCGCCTGTCGGATCACTTCCTGTTATCTTTGACAGTTCTTTATCCGTTAACCGACTTGGACAAAAAGCTACTATCACAAAATGTTCTCACAGAAAACACAGCAGAAACATTTCATCAAATCTACTCTTCTTCCTCGCCCTTATTGACGTAGATAAGTTGGTAGATGATTTTCAGTCTAAAATTTCATATATCATTTATTACATTGCCCCCATTAAAGTGAAGGTTGTGACTGGTAGGAAGAAATCTCCATGGAGAAATGCACAAACTGTTCAATTTGCAAGTCAACTCTGCCATATGGCCGAATGGAAACGGCGTAAAACTCAACTTCACATTTAATATGACATCTATAAAGAAAGATTACGTAACTATCACTCAACACTAAAACATGCAAGAGAGGCTTTCTTTGCAGATGTCATAAACAAAAACATTAACAATGATTGAGCCCTATTTGCTACTGTTGACAGGCTGACAAACCCTCCTATGACGTTACCACCTGAATTTCAATCTAATGCCGCCTGCAACAAGTTTTCCAGTTTCTTTTCAGAGAAAATTCAAAAGATCAGAGGATTAATCTGCACATCCACTCTAAAGCCAGTACCAATGCTGTGCCCAAACAAAACAAATGCAGGAACAATAACCCGATTTCAACTACTTCATTATAAAACCCTAGAAGAAATTATAAGTCAATTAAGCTCCAGTTCATGATGTCCTACCCACACATTTCTTTAAGAAAGTCCTGCCTGTCGTTGCTAATAGTAACTCATCGCTGTCTTCAGGTGTTTTCCCCCAGGCTTTGAAAACAGCAGTTATCAAACAACTGATAAAAAAAGAACAATCTGGACAAATCACTACTGCAGGATTACAGGCCGACCTCTGACCTCTGACCTCCCATTCATCAGCAAAGTTATTGAAAAAGCAGTTTGTAAACAATTAAATAGCTTCCTACAATAATGAATCGCTTTGACTCCTTCCAGTCTGGTTTTCGTGCTCACCACAGCACGGAGACGGCCCTAGTCAAAGTGTTCAATGACATCCATATAAATACAGACTATGGGAGAACCACAGTGCTGGTTCTGTTGGACCTCAGTGCAGCTTTTGACACTGCCGATCATGACATATTACTGAATCGACTGGAGAGTTGGGTCGGACTCTCCGGTCCAGTGCTCCACTGGTTTGAATCTTACATAAAGAACAGGGATTTCTTTGTTTCAATCGGAAACTTCTCATCAGAGAGGTCAAAGGTCACATGTGGGGTACCCCAAGGTTCAATCCTAGGACCCCTTCTTTTCAATATTTACATGCTCCCGCTGGCTCAGGTTATAACAGGAAATAAGATTCGCTACCATAACTACATGGATGATACACAGCTCTAGATCACGATGTCATCAGGTGACTCTGAACCCATCCAATCACTGAACAGATGCTTAGAACAGATAAATGTGTGGATGTGCCAAAACTTTCTCCAGCTGAACAGAAACAAAACCGAAGTTATTATCTTTGGACCTAAAAGATAGATTCTATGCACCACAAATTTGGAACAAACTTCCAGAAAACTGTAAAACATCTGAAACACTGAGTGCCTTTAAATCTCAACTTAAAACCCACCTGTTTAGAGTTGTTTTTGGACCTTAATCAATTACGAATTTAATGATGGCACTTGACCTAATGTAATGTTTTGATTGTTGATTCTATGTTGCATGACTTTGTATTTTTGTTTTTGTTATGATGTAAAGCACTTTGAAATGCCTTGCTGCTGAAATGTGCTATACAAATAAAATTTGATTTGATTTTAATTTTTTTATTTGACAGGTGCCATTGTGTCTATTGAACATGTGTGCTTGCGTGATGTTCAAAGTGCATAGCAGAGGTGACGAAACATCCCATATTCCCACCACCTCAAAAATTAATCCAGCATCTGTGGTTGCAGATGACTGATGTCATGCAATGCAGATGGGGGTCAGGAAGTAAATACAGCCTGTTTACTTCTGTTGACCCAGCTTCCAAATGCCTAAAGTCTGTCAGTGTTTCTTCCCAATGTATTATAAGTCTGGCGGGCCTCCAGGCTTTACTTGTGCCCCACCAGGCTTAGCATAGCTTATTTATTAAATATTTTTAAATGTTTGCATTTTTAAGACTTTATAGTTGGTGTTCATATATTAATCTTCCAACAACACATAATTATCAAGTGATATTTTCAAACTGCCTGTCAACTTTAAACATTTTTTAACTCAAAAACATGGCAGACCGCTGGATGAATGACTGCCCGAGTGCCCCAGTCACCAGACTTAGTACGTTTTCTGGGGGAAACCTTGTCTGTGTTGTTAGAATTGTTCTATTAGAGAGAAATATAAAAGTTATTTTCATGTTCTGAAGGTAGTTGGTTACAAGGGAGGTCATTTTAGAAAATGTACTGAAAAAAGATGAGAAAACTGGATTTCTAAATGTATGAATGTTTAGAAAGACAAACATTCATATGTAAGTCACAGTGAGTTGTCACTATTTCCCCATTCTCTCTGGCCACCAACCATGCTTTTAATGGGGTTTCTGTAGTTTGCTGTGAATGGTTGACCTGCATTGTAGAAATGCATTAAGACTCAACATCAACATACAACTCCAGCATGAATTTGGGCTTACAGAAGCTAAACAAATTATTTACAAGTAGAGCCAAACACATAGAAATAACATGGGTTAGGTTGTTGTTTGCATTAGTGATAGCATTGTCAGTGGCGCAACTGCACATTATTCAGGTGGATGCGAAAACATAAATCGTGGAGTGTAAAACTTGCTACATGTACCTCGTTATGTGCGAGAGGTGAAGGAGCGTGAGGCGTGCTGAACTGTATGGGAAAATATAATCGGCGCGTCGCCCCCTTCAGACGGGGTTTTGGCACCCCCTCTGGTGCTGCGCCCCTATGCGTTGCATACGCTGTACCCACTTTTTGCGCGTCTGAGCATTGTTATTATAGCACAAGTCACTACTCACCCAGACAGAACCAACTTGACAGCCATTTAATGCTTCTTTTGATCCTAAATTGTTGACCCAACCTGAAACAAAATAAATCTTGTTTCAGGTTGCTTCCAGGTTTTTGAAAGCTTTCATCTGGCTCGTTGTAGTAATGTGGTCTTCTGCACCAGATAGTCATGTTTATTTCCTCGATGCTAGGTAAATCCTCAAGATTTTATGACAAATCTTTTTTACCAAGACAACATGGATCATATCCTAAATATATCCATATTTTTTTGAGATACGTCATCTGTGTCAGCCTATTTGGGGCATTAATGTATTCGCTGTGATCCATTTTTCTCAGTTTTGAACCTGACAAATCCACTTCCTGACCGCCATCTGAATTTTGTGCATCATCCGGGTCACATGTCTGCAACCCAGCAATAAGGGCCTCCTGTGGAATGGTTCCATAAACCATTCCAAAAATGCTAAATCAAATTTTATTATTTTCTTGCTCAAGCTTTGTGTTGTTTTAAAAGATGATCATGAAAGTAGGGTATAAAGTAGCAAAATTCTTATAGGAAGAAAAGTGTAGGTGATGCTTGGCTGCTGAAAAGCCAAGCATCACTATTATTTTCCAAAAATAATTGTTTTGTAAAACTATTAGTTTTAGGACAGTAAGTCTTCTGACATGTGCTTTTTTTGGTTGACCTTAATCCTTATACTTCTTCTTCAGGCTTTGTGAGCTATGATAACCCAGTGTCATCACAAGCGGCCATCCAATCAATGAACGGTTTCCAGATCGGTATGAAAAGACTGAAGGTCCAACTAAAGCGTTCAAAGAATGATAGTAAGCCTTACTAGCATTGTTAAGGCTTATAGAACAAATTGTGTTAGTACATTAGTTACATGAATGAAGAATTATTTATTTAGCATTTAATGTACTGTCGCTTTCATTATAAAAGTACTAAATCACTTCATAGCTCTTAAAGCTTGCTGTGCTGTGAAAGTATATTCTTTTTTATACAAAAGACATTATCATAGGTTCTATACTAAACTGATGGTCATGTTTTGTAGAATTGTCTACAAAAACTGTATGAGTTTTTAAGTTAAATACATAATGTGATGCACAATAATTTTTTTCCCTGTTTTATCTGATGTCAGTGATCTGATAAGTTTCTCAATAGCAAACTATTCATGAAAATGTACTTTTTCCCTTTGTATAGTAGTTAAATTATTTACATTAGGTATTATTGAATGAGTTTTTTTATGTATTTCTGGTGTGTATATTAAAAAATTACAGAGTGGCACTTTGTGGACTTTATATATCCAGTAAATCTGCATTTGAAAGTTTGTAAAAGTATTATACTTTTTTGACCAACCAACCAAACCACCCATTTACATTTGCAAAGTAGACTGGTAAGAGTGAGAGAGGAAACACAAGGAAGCTGAAAATATTTCTAATACTAAAGAAACATTAAAGAAAACCTGGTGAACTAGAAGAGAAAAAGACACGAGGGAAGCTTTAACAAACCTAAGCAGAAACAAGGCTGATCTAACAATAATAAGAACTAAAGAACATATAGCTAGAGTAACTAGAAGACCTAAACAAAGAAATAACCTAACTAGAATCACTAAAGAAAGCTGGACATACATTCAGAAAAAAAGACTAACTAAACTAAAGTGAAAAAATAAGAAAACTAGAAACTCTATGGGGTGAGCTAGAAGGACTTAAGAAATAACCTAACTAGGACTACTAAAGGAAGAGGGCATGGATGCAGACATAAAGAGCTAAACCTAAGGTACCAAAATAAGAAAACTAGACACACTACAAGGGAGCTGAAAAAAGGAATAACTAGAAGAAAATAATCTAACTAAAATCACTAAAGAAAGATAGACATAAATTCAGACATAAAGAATAATTGTAACAAAATAAACCTAACTAGAAACACTATGAAGGACTGAAAATAAGGAAAGCAAGAAAAAAACCCTGGAAAGTCCATTTTGCATTTCCTGTGGAAAACAAGGTCCCAGAGTCTGGAGGAAGAGAGGAGAGGCACAGAATCCATGTTGCTTGAAGTCCAGTCAAAGTTTCCACAGTCAGTAATGGTTTGAGGTACCATGTCATCTGCTGGTGTTGGTCCACTGTGTTTTCTGAGGTACAAGATCAACATACCCATCTACAAGGAAGTTCTAGAGCACTTCATGCTATGCTGCTGACCAACTTTATCTAGATACAGATTTAATTTTCCAACAGGACTTGGCACACAGTGCCAAAGCACCAGTACCTGGTTTAAGGACCATGGCATCCCTGTTTTTAATTGGCCACCAAACTCGCCTGACTTTAGCCACATAGAAATCTATGGCGCATTGTAAAGAGAAAGATGTGATACACCAGACAATTTAAAAGAGCTGAAGGTCACTATGGAAGCAACCTTAACTCTCATAACACCTGAGCAGTGTGTTATGACTGCTCAGATCATAACACACTGCGTCACGCCGATCAGTCATGCCGGACTGATGGGCTCCATGTCACGCCACATTGCTGCAGTAATCCAGGGAAAAGGAGTCCCAACTAATGTACAGTACTGAGTGCTGTACATGGTCATAATTTTCATGTTCATAATTTTCAGTGGGCCAACATTTCTAAAAAGTGTTTTTTGTGTTGGTCTTAAGTAATATTCTAATTTTCTGAGACACTGAATTTGGGGTTTTCATTAGTTGTCAGTTTTAATTATCAACATTAAAAGAAAAACAAACATTTGAAATATATCAGTTTGTGTGCAATGAATGCATATAATATACAACTTTAACTTTTTGAGTGGAATTACTGATTTAAATAAACTTTTCATGATATTCAAATTTTTTTGATCAGCACCTGTACTTCTTGAGGAAGATCCTTCAATTCTTGCAGCAAGATGCTGCCGATCTTCTATAAGTCTGTTGTTGACAGTGTCATCTCTTCTGCCGTCATCTGTTGGGGCAGCAGCATCAGAGTCAGGGACTTAAAAAGGCTCAACAGCCTGATAAAGAAGGCTGGTTGTATTCTGAGGACGACTGTGGATGATTATACAAAGGATTCTTCATAGGATCAAGAAAATTATGGACAACCCTGACCATCCTCTTCATGAGACTGTTTTTGGAAGGTAGAACATCTTCAGTCAGAGACTTCATCAGGTTCAGTGCAGTACAGAAGATCTGGCAGGAGATCTTTTCTGCCCTTTGGGATTAATAAAGTAAATTTGCATTGAACTTGAATTGAATTTAATACAGGCAACAAAAATTGAGTTAAGTTAGTTCTTTAAATAATAAAATAAATGTGTCGAATCTGATGTGTATATATATATATGTATATATATGCATTCTGTTTAAATTGGTTAATTGAAAAAGATATAGCAAATATTTCTAAAGTAGCAATACAAAAATCTGTGATTTTGATAGCAAATATCTAAACCAATGGAATTCTGGAGGATATAATTATTGAACTTTATTCTCTGCCCTTCTAAAAAGCCTCCTCGAATATTTTTATGACAAAAACTATATGCAAAGATTATGTTTTCCATTCCATTTTTTCAATATAAGGCTGATATTCACTATTTTCAGAATTTTCCACTGTACAAAGCATTTTAAAATTCAAAACTAACGCGATGGCGATGTGTTGAAATTCATAATGACAGGATATTGATCTGCTCTATTTGTCTTGAATACTGATAACGACAGATCAGAAACAATAACAAGAAACAGATTGATTCTGTCTGTTCGGTCCCTGGGTGGGTGTGTCTTTCTTCCAGATGGGGCGGCGCTGCGCGTGCCGTCTCCTGTCTGTTTGCTTCTAATCCTCGGAATGCATCTCTGGCAGAAGGACCGCTGTTCTCCAACCACGAATCTCACACAACCTCTCTGGACCAGTCGCATCTTAAACACAACAGGTTAGTGTGCTATTTATTATTATTTTTCAGATTTCGTCTGTTTCGCACGTGTTCCTGCCATATTTTTACCGGCTTCTAAGTACCATATGTGATTTGGCCGCAGGTGTGTGCATTAAATGTAAAGTGGATGTGGACTGTGCGCGCATTGCATGGAAATTAGGAGGGTTTGTCTAACTGTGGAGCTTCCTATCTGAAGCCTCCTTCTAGTCTGAAATAAGTGGGGATAGAATCTGCAATTCACGAAAAAAACAAACAACAAACAACAACAAAAAACATCGGATCTGCTACATCTAGATGCATGTTTCAACAGACCTGCTGTTATTCGCCTTGAGAGTAAAGGAGTGTTCCATGACAAATCTCAGCTTGGCATGTCGCAGTCCTATCTCAGTGTAAATTTGAAAAATTCCAGTCAGAAGGAAAAACTGCACACTTTAATATTTTCTCATAAAGTGAAGAATAAAAAGATCCCTTTATCTTGCTTTAATAGACTGGCAGTGTAACACAGTTATGTACAAAAATATTAAACTCAGCAATTCATAATTGATCCTGTTTTGATTGCCAATTTATTTTTGTTAACATCTGAAACTTGTTTTAAATATACTTAATACTGTGTGATTTACTGCCTCTATTATGGTTAGGATATACTCACAATTGCCTGAAAGTTGTTGGTACACACATAAGGACCTATCTGGGTTCTGCGAGATGCATTCAACTGAGACTTGGTAAGTCTCTCATGATATGCTGTTACATCAACAGTACAATGAGATAGGAATTTCTTGAACAGTTCCAGGGTCTCATTTATAAAACTTTGAGCATGATTTATATTGAAAGTATGAATACATCCAAAAGACAAAAATGGTGCACTAAAAACAAATTTTGATTCATAAATCCATGCATACACACATCAGCAAGCAATCTTTATTTATAGATAACAGCTGTTGTCTATAAATAAAGAAATAAAACTTTGTGTACAAGGTCCTGCCTCAGGTTCTGCCCTCTGCATGTTACCACATTCAATCATAAAAGGTCAATGCGAAGCACCTCATGAATGTCAGTGTTTATTTAAATGAGTCAGCTGATCATCTTATTCCATGATTAACGATGGCAACCACAGGGAAATTAGGGGGAAGAATGCAATTTCATCAAAAGTAATGTGAGTGGAGTGGAAATTGAAAACATTTTTGGTAGCCAGATTGACAGGAAATAATGTTTAGACACCACCACCGGCATTTTAGGAGGCTGATAGCATGCTCCACAGTTGTGCTCTCATGGATGTGCATATTGTTGAAATGTACCTCCTCTGCAGTCGGGGGGGAGTTGGAAACTAGGTTAGGAGGCAGCACATGTGGTGACAAATGTCCCCTTGCTGGTTGTAGCATGACAGTGTGTCTGTATATTTAGTCCAAATAATTAAAATTCCAGAAGTTAGTTTTTCATGGACTCATGGTCTCTCCACGGTGTAGGAAAATCTGACGTATTGGCTCGCCAGGTTAACAATGTCATCCAGGATGTTGGGTATTATTGAGCTTGCTAATGTCTGATATCCCAGTCCTATGGATACCTTTGCAGAATTATGTTGTTCCTTAAAGTGGCTTTGGAGAGTTAATCAGGGTTTCCTACAGCGTGCCCCCCTGCAAGGTGTGTGTTTTTGTTTTTATAAAAAAAAAAAATTAGATATATTTTTTTTAAATTGAAAAAAAAAAAAAAAAAAAAAATAAATATATATATATATATATATATATATATATAGCCAGGCTGCAAGCGTCTCTTCTGAGGTGAGCATTTTACTGTTAGGACATTATTATTCCTGAAAGAAAGATGGGTTTATAGTTTTCATGCATTGATCAGGGACTGTGCACCAATCACACCTCTGCGCGTTGACCATGTCATGCGCACTGTTGTGCTTTAACCTCTGAAGTTTATCTCTGTGCGGATCACTCATATAGGCTGACCTATGTGGACATTTATATAAACCCCCTGTGAGGATCCATGTTTCTATGTATAATTCAAGGAAGGAGTCAAGTTTAAATCCACCATGTTTGCTTTGTTCGCGCAGCTCAGTGTGAACCCCAAATGTTCACATCGAGTCTGTGCTCTATGTTCTATGTACACGTTGAGCGTACAGTGAGAATGATACTTCTTCGTGAACAAAGCATTATGTGTGCCATGTGCATTTACGTCTCAACATGCTGACTCTGTGTTTGCACTGATAAAGTTTGAGTTCCCAGTTAGCTCTTGCATTATGGACCGGTGGTTCAGCCCTTGGAGGACCTTTTGCGCTCACCATGTTGTTGCGCAGCATGTTGGTTTATTAAGGCATGTCAACCCAGGTGAAAAATAAATATACTAAACATGTTAAATTTTAGCATACTTGAAGCCAGACTAATTATCAGTATACTTGAAGTGTGTTATTTTGGAACTAATTTTTTACTTGGTGTATTTTAATAGTAATTAAATTTTAGAAAAGCACAATTTAAAGTGTACCAAGTGTACTATAACATGCTTTTTTGGACCAACTAAAGTTATACTTTATAGTATTTTATGTAATATAAACGTGCCTGATTAGTATATCTTGAGTGTACTATTTTTTTGATTGAATTACATTTAAAATATATTTAGAATGTATTTTAAGTGTGCTGGCATTACATATTGTATATTAATAGTGTGATTACAGTATGCTACAATTACACTTTTGGTTTATTATAATTGCTAATGAAGTACACTTTTCAGTTACTCATCACTGTGCTGCTTTGCCACTTTGTACATTACATGCTTCATACACACATCAGTACTGCAAACACATCAGGTTACCAGAACACAGAAGAATCCATTACAACACACTTTACAGGTGAAAAAACTTACATTGTTTATTCAATATATTCACATTTTTCAAAAGTACATTGCTAATATACTATCACAGAATTGTACAAATTGTCAATATATTCAAAGTTTACAGACAACACGCTCATGAAAATTGGCACACTAAAACAATACGTACACTTTAGAGGAAATGTGAAAAAAGTTTCACCAAAGACAGAGTATTGTTTTAATACAACGTCACAGTATTCCAGTATTACTGCAGACAAACTGACATTTCTCCTTCCTAAGAACAGTGAGGATCAACGACAGAACATTCCCGTTCACTGCACCTTTCAGAAACCTACAAAAAAGAACAATAGAGCAATTAAACAGAGAAAGCATTTGTATTTTAAAGAGAACAGAAAAACGGCAAATAAAAAATAATACTTACAATTTTAAGACGTTGTGGACTCGCCATGTATGTGACATCATCAGAAATGATGATGATTGGGAACGTATGACTGGAGTGGAAAGACATTTCTGGGTGTCTTCTTTGCCTCTTTATGTTAGAAGTAGAAAAAAATAGTCAGCAATATCATAGAATCAGTTGATGTTGGCATTAACTATGAAGCTGTTTTAAGTGTGAACTTAAGGAGACAAACTACCTTAAAATCTTTCCATCCATGATATGAACACGCTGATCCTTGCAGGGTAGTGAGGGGGGCTGGTGGTGCCCATCTCCAGCAGCCATCAGATGAGAGGCGGGGTTCACCCTGGACAGGTCACCGGTCCATCACAGGGCCCTGAAAGCCAACAATGAATGCAATGTATGAAAGAGAAATGGTAGATTAACAAGGGGAATAAATTCTGTTCAATTATTTTAAATATTTTTCCATATTTGCCATATTTTACGCATTAAACAAATGCGTTAAATGCCTAACATGTCTATTAAGCACTTAGTGTTGGAAACACACCAGTTTTTGCTGCTGTTAAAAATTTACCTGGCTTCTCAGTGTAAAAAAAAAAAAAAAAAAAAGACATAC